CGGTTGAGTTCATCACCCCAAAATTAATCAATGTGGGACTATATATCTCAACATGCTCCCTCACGCAAGAGCCAAGCGTGGAAATTGCACAGGCCCATTTTTGGTTTACCTTTTTGTGCTTTTTTTTTTATTTTAATTCCACTTTTTAAGGTGTGAGACGGTGAGGCTCCGATACCATGTAAAGAACCTTGAGGTCACCACCCAAAAGCTAGCTCAAGGGGTGGAAGTACCTAAGGCCTTATAAAAATCATATTAGTTGCTCATCCAATCAACGTGGGACTATATCTCAACAAAAGTGAAACAGCCGCATAAAAGAAAAAAGAAGGGAGAGCGAGCGTGTACAGGTAGCGTCGCAGATAGAAAAAGAAGAGAAAGGAGAGAGAAAAGGGACGAGGGAGAAAAGAAGAAAAATAAAATAAAAAGTAGATTTTTTCCAAAGAATCCAAGGGTAAGATCTATTTTTCGAGGGAGTACTCACAGTCTCTAGTATTCCATATCCAACAAATATTTTGTGATTTGAACGTCTTTAGAGTTCGAGATCTATTTTCCTTTTTGCAGCATTATTAATGACTTCCTTCTTTATTTTTATTTCTAGATTTTCATTTTTTAAGTGATGATATTTTGATTCCTCTATTATTATATGGATTTTATAATTCTCATGTTGAAAGAGAATTAAAATCTCATATTGTAGAGATAAAAAGCATGTGGGACCCATGTGTTAGAAAAAATTATATGTAGGACTCATATCAGCACGAAAATCGAAGGGTGTGTAAGAAAATTATAATTCTCATATTAAATAAGAATTATAAAACCCTTATTATATAGTGAGAACATTATTATTGTGTATCCATTATTGTTATTGATAGTGTAGATTTGAATGGACTCTCATAAAGATCCTCTCTCTTTTCTCACATTGGGTTTTCTGCATAAAATGTCCATTTATTATTTCCTGTAATTCTTATTTGATTTATGAAGTGTTTACTTCGATTTACATTTGCTTTATTTGTTTGAGCCAACAAACCTACTTACCATAATAACTAATGGTTAAAGGATAGACACATGCTTCTAGCTTCACTTACATGGTGTAGCCTATAAATAGACATCTTACATCACCTCCAAGAGACACTTTTGCACACTAATGGGACTGAATGTTGCCACACTAAGGCGGCATAATCAGAATACTCGACCACTATATAAACATAGGCTTGAAGCTCATATATAATCATTTTTCTATCTTAACTTGAATACATTACGCATCTATTGACTTTTGAACGTCAAAGTACCTCCCTAAGTCCCTCCAATCAATAATAAGAATCTGAATTTAACATTTCATTCCGCAGTGAATTCCGCTTGTGAAGTCAAATATCTCGCAGAGGCTTTATCTCGCAACATCAACCTTTACAAAGACACATACACTTGTGGATCATGCTCAATTGTGTGTGATCCAGCACGATTTTTATTAGAATGATCAGAATCAATTTAAAAATAATAATTAACGGTGCTTAAAACTCAAGTATTTATAAACTTTAGGTTTCTAACTAGATACCACTTTAAATTTTCTTAATTAACTTTCTTATAACTGGTTAAATAAATTATTAGAATTTTTATGTGTTTAATATATTAAATATATTTTCATTTCATATTAAGAGAACACGTAATGAGAGTATAACAAAATTCTTCTAATTTTCTGCATCTCTTCATACGACTATTTTTTTTTTAAAAAAAAAAAAAAAGACGGTCTTTTTTAAATCTCATATTCTCATTGCCAGCAGGCTTGTTGAGTTACAATCCAAAAAAAAAAAGTATTAGATTAAAAATTATCGAGAGTAGCTCCCTAAGGGAGCTGAATAAGTGAAAAGAAAATGATCTTGGTTCAATTTCTACATATTATATTTGGGATGAATTTAAATATTTTTATTTTTGATTCACCTCGCACTTTGGAGTAGTTTCATACGCTTTTTACAGAGTTAAAATTTGTTTACATCAAAGAGATAATTAAAGTCAGAATAAGTAAAAAAAAAAATTATGGAGTACAAAACAAACCGTGACGAGGATCTAAATAAGGATTTAGATTCTTTCTCGTCATATGATTATCTTGCTGAAGAAAGAGACAAATATTTTCTTATGGAAAGACCCATCGTGATTAATTATGAGAAACTATAGTTATAATTAGATGTGTTTTTTATCTTATTTTTTTCCAACAGAATCTTTCTTATTATTTAACATTTAAAGAAAATAGATTTCTTAATTAATAATTTGTACAAGAGATTAAAGAAGAATGCTCGATTAGCAAAGTTCAGCAACATTCGTACATTGTGATTCATTAATATATATTCATTAAATCGTGTAAATATTGTTTCAATAGTATAGCAACTTATATATTTCCTAAAATTATTTTTACCAAAAAATATTATTTGTATTGGATAAATAAAATGATTTAAAATATTCCATGGAGATTTCCAAAAATAAATAAATAAATAAATATTTCATGGCTTTAATAATATGTTCGGATGAGCGTTTGGCTCCGTCGAACGAGAGTTTGGGCACTCAAACAGGATTCCATTTTTATTGAAACTTGTTTGGTTTCACGTTTTTTCTTTCTTTTCTTTCTGCGTTCGGGTGTGTTTTTTTTTTATAAAAAAAAAAAAACTTAATTTTAAGTAAAAGTAACTTTATGTAACTTTTGCATTCGTGCGGATGAAGTTCAAACATAAACCAATTCAATTCAAACTCATTTTTTATCAAAATTAACTTGATAAAATTAAGATTACGAAAAATCAACTTTGCGAATTTTCATGCATTTCGCAAACCAAGTCTTTAACCAGTTCTTTATAGCAAGTCATGAATGAGAATATTCTATTTGAGCATCTTCACAATCAATGGGAGAGTAAAAAAAATTGTGTGAAAAGAAACAAAATTATTAGTATATTATTCCTTATAAGTTTTAGCTATTTATATGATCAAAAGAACATAGATTATATTCACAATTAAAACAAATATAACTCGAAGAGAAGCTATCATTATCTATATGATAAAAAATAATGTAAATCATGTTCACAACCCTAACCTCGCCCCCTCTCCATCACTTATAATAAGGTTGCCTATATATAAAAGCCTCTTCTACAACAAGACAACACAAGACCATTGTTTTAGATCAAAGTTTCCTATATTTCGGGTTGTTAAGACTATGCTTGGAAAAGCAAATTTAAGTAAGCAAGCATGAATAGTGAGAAGAAAACATTTCCAGTGTTTGGTAGAAGAGAATAAGAAAATAAAATAAAATGATGCATTTAGACTTGAGCTGGACCAAACTCAAAAAAATATTGTTTCCTTGTGTTCTACTATCTTCTTACTTGACAATCTTATCCTTATGTGTTGAGATATATAGTCCCACATTGGTTGTATGTGCAACTAATGTGGAGTTTATAAGGTCTTGGGCACTCCCACTCTTTGAGCTAGCTTTTGGGATGGTGTATCCCAAGGTTCTTTATAATGTGGAGTTTACATTATGCACAAAATTGTTGAATCCAACCCTCGTACTGCTCTTCATCTTGTTCAACATGGGTGTCCTACCTCTCCCCCTCGATCCATATTAATCCAGGAATACATCACACCAAATATACTTACTCTTACCAAGTGGTATCGTTTCTTCGCTTAGCTCTCCCAAGGTTCTTTACATGGCATACAATCTTATCCTTATGTGTTGAGATATATGTTGTAGGTGTGTTGAGATATATAGTCCCACATTGGTTGAATGTGCAACTAATGTGGAGTTTACATTATGCACAAAATTGTTGAATCCAACCCTCGTACTGCTCTTCATCTTGTTCAACATGGGTGTCCTACCTCTCCCCCTCGATCCATATTAATCCATGAATACATCACACCAAATATACTTACTCTTACCAAGTGGTATCGTTTCTTCGCTTAGCTCTCCCAAGGTTCTTTACATGGCATACAATCTTATCCTTATGTGTTGAGATATATGTTGTAGGTGTGTTGAGATATATAGTCCCACATTGGTTGTATGTGCAACTAATGTGGAGTTTACATTATGCACAAAATTGTTGAATCCAACCCTCGTACTGCTCTTCATCTTGTTCAACATGGGTGTCCTACCTCTCCCCCTCGATCCATATTAATCCAGGAATACATCACACCAAATATACTTACTCTTACCAAGTGGTATCGTTTCTTCGCTTAGCTCTCCTAGATGATAAGCGTGGCATTTGCTTTACTGAGATTTTTAATTCGTTTTGTTTTTGCTTGGCTCCTCGATCCCCTTTATTCAACTTGCCCCACAGAAAAATAACAAAAAAACCAAAAAAAATCCCTTTGATTAACATTTGTTAAGTCAGTAATTGAAGTGGTCCACATAGTCCCAAGTTCGATTAATGCATCTGACAAAATAGTTAGGGTATCCTGGAAGTCCACTTTTTGTATCCAACTTTTCTATTTTTGTAAGGATTTATTGTTTCTCATATTATAAGAGATAAATTTATCTCATACACACACATAAAAATATATAGAACCTATATTTTTTCTTTCTCTCTTTCTCCTTACATGAAATCACATGAGCATATATGTATAAGAAATAAAATTTATATCCTAAAAAGAAACATTAAACCCTTTTTCTGAACACCAAAGAAAAGGTGGAATTTGGCAAAAACTCAAAAGTCAAAGAACAAGCCCAATTGTACTAAAAAAGAAGAAGAAGAAGCCCAATCTTTAATCAGACCCTTTTACCCTAATATAAGGACTTGAGTAGTTAAAAATTAAAAATCATATTTTCAGTTAATCTCTTGACACTGCACTTCTACTTAACGTTTCATTCACCTCTTTTATCATATAAATGAATATGACCTAAAAAGAGTAAGAATGGCCACAAAAATGAATGGTTTCACCACAAAGATGGGCGTCTGCATGTACATGAGCATTTGTGTGCGCATAAACGTATTATGTAGATTTTAGTGTAAGAGAATAACATCCAAGAACGACATTATGTTAAATCAGTGACTAAGTTATGTATACTCCACGACAGAAAATTATCAGAGATATCTTATTATAACAAAAAAGCAAACTGACGGAAAAGCAATTACTGGCAAAGCTTTACAAACGTATCATACATTTCTTTTCCCATGGTTGTCATAAGTTTCACTATTTGGTTTTCCTTTTTATGGGTAACTAACCCTAATGACTAGCAGGATGTCAGAATTTTGAGGAATTTGCTATCACCAATCATCATCAAGGCTCGCTTGATGGAAACACAACACAGTGCAGATAAATATGAAGAATGATACAAGCTCAATGAGCATCGCTCCAGTCTCAATCATATGGGCGTGCTTAAGGATTATCGGAATGGCTATGCTCCCTACGGCTGATGCTCCAGTCAAAAATTTTGCAGCATCTATCCAACTGTAACATAATATCAGATATTATATTTACTGTTATAAACAAATTAGTCTTTAAGAAATTTGTCCCCGAACTCGAATTGAATTGAAAAGGTCATATAAAGGAGGTAAATACCCATTGCATAAAACAGAATAGCAGATAACCCAAAAGCTAATCGCATGGAAAATGTAAGTATATAAAACCAGAGAACTTTTTTGAGCTCTAAACTACAACAGATACTTACCCACCACCATCACGGCTCATCAGAAATTGAGTGGACCCACCTCCAAAGAATAAGCAAGGCATAGGTACCAACACATACATGAGAGCTGCAGGTGCAATGTTCTGACCATTAAAAATTTCCAACTAATAAACAAGACTTCCAGCTTAAAACACTTTAACTCACCTGATAACATGGGCCACCAATTGTTGTATATAGCGCAAGCCTGCCACAGCAAATAGAAAGCAAATGGAATACACTTTTACACTTGAAAGTAAATGTGCATTCAACAGATCACATAAGAGTCATATGTGCTGCTATAGCATTCCATAATGAATATTTCAATTAGATCATGTATCAACCGTATCATAAAAAAATAGCAAAAGACACAAAGCCCTATTTTAATATATCTTCATCTTTTTTTCTGTTCAACCCAAATACGGTTCATAGAATATAGGCTGGCCCATTCCCATACCATAAAATCTGACCCCACCTACTCCCAATTGGTTTTGAGCATGACCTGAGACCTACAAGTTTGAGTACTCAGCTCAAAAATTAATTCCAATAGTGTTTCTAAAATCTATCTACACAAATTATGCCGAATTGCTAAGGCAAAAACATGTTCTCCTCTTCTGGCTATAAAGAACTAATTCAACCCAAAACCTTAAGGTGTTGGGTGAGAGCCTTTTTAATGGTTTATATTATTCTCTAACGCATCCCCTCACGCAAGAGCCTTTTGGGCTTGAAGCGTGGATATTGCACAGGCCCAATTTTTTATTTACCTTATGCTTATTTAATTCCACTAGAAAGTGGGGGAAGGTAAGGATCGAAATCGTGAACTTGTGGTCATTGAAGCTCTAATATCATATAAAGAACCAATTCAATTCAACCCAAAACCTTAAGGTGTTGGATGAGGGCCTTGTTAATGGTTTATATTATTCTCTAACACGTGCAAATTTGATTATTATAAATCCAAGACATAATGCACAGAGGACCCACCAGTAGCAGTGGTTGAATTTAAAAAGTTGCAATATGTGATCATGGTCTTGCAAGACTCAAATAGTGCTATTTCCTGTAATATTTGTATGGCTAAATTTTTATCCTCTCCATTTCCTTTTCATCCTATATTCCTGAAAGCTATATTAAATTCTAGAAATTACAACCCTTCTTTGCCTCATCGAACATTCAAGCAATAGAGATTTTTCCCTCCACTTCCCACTCATTCCCTTCCCACCATTTTCCTTGATGAACTATTCTTTCATTCCCATCTAAATATTTCAAACATATATAGGCTTTAAATATTTCATTCCCATTTATTAATTGATTTATTTATTTATTTTTTTATTTTTTATTTTTTTTATTTTTTATTTTACTTTTTTTTCAACCGTTTTGTATCTTTCATGTGGGTTCATCTACCACCAACCCCAATTAATTTGGGATAAAGGTGTTGTTGATGTTGATGTTGATGTTGATAGGCTTTAAAGTCAAGTGTTTCTTTTTTCCGGCATCTTTAAGGATATAACAAAACTTGATTCTGAATAAAATCATGATTCATAATACAACTAAGAAATTTTCGGCAGGGTTGAACACACTGTATTTATGGCTCCCCTGAAATATTTTTCAGGAAGATAGTATGCTTTTACTGTTTCACTTGATGACCGTAATACATAGAATTCTCACCCAAGATTCAATACGAATTTGAACTGTTCGTGTGGTCAGAAAATTTATGTGATAGCTAGGAGATTACTTTTAAGGAAGTAGTTACAAACAGCAATGTGTCTCGATTTATTTCAAAAACAATCAAAATTAAAATTACATTAATCTAAAAACAAATATAATACTTCAAAGTAGAGTTGGTCAAACCTAACTTGGAGGAAACACAATTGCGAAAAAGAAGAAGCAAACAGACATTACTTAGTTTATTTCAAGCATTTAGGACCAGAACAATTAGTCTCATTGTGGAAAACATACCAGTATCTGTAGCAAAATGCTAGCCGAAAACATAAAAGCCAGCCCAGCAAGGCTGCACGTCCAGAAAAGAAAAATGTAAAGTTAATATCACTGATTTTGCTAGATAATCAACCATGAAACAAAGGTCGGAGAGTTTAGTTTCAACTTACACTGTAAAGTCAAGAACAGTCCCAGTCCACCGAGTTGTAACGTTACATACAAGAAAGAATCAGTACCATAATGAAGAATACATTGAGGAAACAAATTTAAAAAGAAAAAGATAAGCAAACATAAATCCTTAGTAGAAAAAGTGCAGCATGAATTTGGCCATTTATGTTCTTACTTCTTTGGATTTGTACTCAATATTGCAAAGGATGTGTCATCCGTGGTTTTACATGTATAACCCAAGTGTCTTTGACATGAGGAGAGCATAAATTCCCCAATTTTGTTTGAAAAAAACTTTCTTAGAATTGTATATTCCTCGAGCAATTTCGTTAATCTTCGCTTCTATTGGGCTTGGAAAGCAACTTAACAGAAAAGATCAGCCTGTCTCTCTAATACACTAACTAATCCCCCAAGTTTCCCATCAGAATTTTACGAAAACCCAATGGATTGCTATAGAAACTTACTGGTCACAAAACCCTAACCCAATTGTGAGGGAGATTCGGCTGTAGAGAAACAAGTTGCAACAATTGGTGATGGGAGTGAAAGTAATTGTGATCTAATTGGAGTAATAGAGAGGATCGCGGAAAGGAGAAACGATAGTTTGAGTATAAAGTTAAAATTGAGAGCGCATACCGTGTATTGTCATCGCCATGGGAGCTATCACTCTCGAGGGAACAAGGATTTAATTCAAACGAAAAAAAAGTGCAGAGCTGGGAGTTGCTCCGAATTTTAGCCTAACTTTTCTGTTTCTCCTTATGTATCAATATATGCCTTTAGAACAAAGCTTCTCTTCTCTTGTTATTTTTATTTTTGTTTTTATTTCTTTTCATGTCAGATTCTGTCTGATAAAAACTGGGTGCCTCGTAATTAATTAAAACATTCATAAGAGTTTTTTATGATCATATCCTATTATTTAATATTAAAATTAGGAGTATTGTTGGTATGGATTTGATGAATTTTGAAGCAAAAATTATATAATTTAATCTTTTCGTTTCATTATTTAATTATCTATTCAGTTTGATTTTTTTTCAAATCTGATCCAATCAAATCCAATTTTATTCGATTTCGACTTTCAATTTTTCGAAAAGTCAAAATTTCAGCCATACAAATCACTATTATATCAAAATGAAGTCATGTAGAATTACAAACTACTAAAAGATTTAAGTCTACAAACTAAAATAAGTCTTAAAGCTCATAAAGTGTTAAAATAGAATAATAGACAATAAAAACTAAAATAAGGTAGTTTGTTATTAATAACATCAAATATTCCAAGTTTACAAAACAATAATATTCCAAGTTTACAAAACAACAATATTTCAAATCACCATCTTTCTCTTTCATACTTCACTCTTTCAGCTTACTCAATGTTCACTGTGATCTTCAAAACAACAGTAAGACAACAACTTTCGCGAAAATAAGAGATTACAGAGAGGGTTCAAGCAACACCAAATTTAAAATAAATACATGAACAATTGAAATTAAAAAAATAACAACTTATATCATTCACTTTTATTCAGAATCCGCACTAGAATCGTCATCAACTTCTGTAGTTGGAGAATTATCTAAAATATTTATAATAAAATATTGTTAGTAACTTAATAATTAGAAAAATAAAAAGATGATATAAAAATAAAAAATTATACAAGTAGAATAAAGTAAATTACCCATCTCCATCTTTGCAAATTCTTCTATAAGCTATTCTACATCAATGGAAAAAAGAGTGGACCGGAACCAATTTTATGCACAAAATTAATGCTTCATTTGTCTTTGGAGTTAGAGAACTCTTGTAGTTGTTAAGAATTCTACCCCTAGTCCTGAATGCAGATTCTGAAGCAACTGTAGATACTTTTAGCTATTTGACCAGGTATAATATTTGTTAGAATTCACCTTCCACCAAGGCACCAATTCAAGATATCAAAATTTTGAGTTATTTTCTTTAGTGGCTCCATGAGAAACAGATCCACCTCATTTTTTAGTTCTTTTTTTACTTACAGTTATGTCCCTCTCAAATTCACTAGCAAATGAAAAGTTATCAAATGCTGCCAAATCAATGTCTTTTACCTCATGATGATATTTGGTCGACATTTGAGAAAGATTATTTCCATGAAAATGGTTATAGCTATAGAACATCTTATTTAAAGTCTCCTTAACTCTAACACTTAAAATTCTGCATCCTCATTTTCATAAAGCTTCTCTAAACTCCATTCCACAAATCATAATTTATATCGGGGACCAGGTATCACAGCAATACATTGGATTGGTTTGGATTGGATCGATTTTCATCAACCAAATCGAAAACCGATATAATCCAATTAAAATATGTAGCTTTTTTCGGTTTTTGGTTTTTCTATTTTCGGTTAATTCGGTTATCAATTTTTCGGTTCGTTTACGACGGTTTGAATTTGTTTGGATCAATTGATAAACATCTCTAATTAAAGTTATATTCATATTTAAACTTTATGACACATATTACATAGGAATTAGTGCTTTTTTTTAAATACATAATTTTTTGTCATTTTAACTGAAACTATTGTGTGTTTTATAGTGACAGAGATAGAAATTATGGAGAAAGAAAATGGAAAGTTTTGTTTTTGAAATTAAATATTAAATAAAAAGTAACATTTTTAACTAAAATTACATTCGTTTAAAAGCACAAATATTTTTTCCTATTACATATACATAAACCTAGGGGTGAAACTGGACCGGGTCGGCCTACAGGGGCCTACGGCTCGGCTACATCAGGCCAGGCCTGATCTAGTATATTTTGTATAATAGGTTGGACTTGCGCCTTAAAAAAACTTGTTTAATAAAAAAGTCGTAGGCCCACTTTCAAAAGGCCGGACCTATAAGCCTACAGGCCGGCCTATATTGTACTATTTATTTTAAATAAATTAAAATAGAGTAAGTATTGAAGAAAAAACAAAAGATATAAATTTAATCAATTATAATTATTTATAATTTAATTATATTCGATTATATTTTAATAGAAATCTTACTTTATTTCTTATATAGGAGGAACTAACATCTCAACATGTTAGATTGTGTATACGAATATATTAAAAGATTTTTGGGAGATGTTATACTTACTACAAGCATCATGATGTGTTTGTTGGATTCATGTAGTTATTTTAATTTACATAGTATGGATTTGTTTGTTGGATCTGATGAAATATGTTATTTAGTTTGAGCATTTTGCTTTTGAAAATGACTTAAATGCATATTGTATGAGTTTTGTTATGATTCATGATTCTGTTTAGACGTTTAAATTATGATTTTTGGTGTATCAACAGAATTTGAGTACTTTGTATATGGTTCTGCTTGGAAGTTAAAAATTAACAGGCTAACGGATCAAGCCAGGATAACAGTTATACTCATACTAGGCTTGGACCAGGCCAAATTGAAATTTTTTGACGTAGGCTTGGACTTTTCGAGGCAAAGCTTAGCCCAGCCCAGCCCAGCCCACTTTCACCCCTACATAAACCTTCCTCTGTATCTTTTCTCACATTATCGCCAAAATAGTGGAGGATAAAATTTGACTTGGTGAGAGAATATAAATCAACCTTTTATATGTAGTCTTTATTCATTTTGTCAATTTTTTTTGGTAACCAATCTTAATTATCTTTATGAAGCGAATTGGACCCTTCAATATCTCTACAGGTTTGACTCTTTAAACCGACTATGAAACTAATCCGGTGTTCAGAATGGATATAGGATTAAAGTTTTATGTCATTCTCCAGAATTGTATTGGTAGGAATCGAATCGAGGTCATTTCTCATACTACTCAGCTCCATTGCACCAACTGAACTATCATTATTGATTTTTTTATCACTTGTGAATGATGATACAATAAAAAAAATCAATAACCATTTTATTATGCTTTTTCTTGCAAATAATATGAAGATAATTTTAAATTTGTCTTTGCGTTGATCAAGTCTAAATTGAACTTCAACAATTTTAAAGACATATCCCACGTCAAAATGTGAATTTAGAGATCTCCGTACAAATTTTATAAGCAATGAAGCCTCCAAAATTATTGAAAGATTTTACAAATTTATTCACCTCTGCTCTTGATCTTGTAGTTTATTACCAAAATATCACAAATTACAACTTGAGCAGCTGCAAGTGATTCAATAAATCAAGGGCAATCCAGTCCATCTGCACCGGAGACCAACGCACGTGATTGATTGCAGCTGAAGATCCATACCACATAGTGGGTTCCACATCACCACCATTAATCCCTGTTGGGAATCCTGTGTCCATCATCTCCCAAATCAAAGCCCTTGCATCGTCACTAGCGGAGCACAAATATCGTCCCAAATTTGGAGACCATGATATAGCATTAACACTTGTCATGTGCTTACTTAATTCCATGAAAGGTTTGGTTGGTAACCTAATATCTATGATTACCACTTTATTGCTGTTCATTCCGACCGTGGCCATAAACCTCGAGTCACTTTTATTCCATTCCAAACGCAACAAAGGACAATCCTGAACAGGATTTTCATATATTATGGTTGATTTTTCTCTGTCTCTTAAATCAAATACCCTGACAGAACCATCACCGGACACGGAAGCAAACACATTAAATCCACCCCACGAAATGTCATACACTTCTTTGTCGTGTGCCACTAATTGTGTGTTCACAATTTCCCTTTCTATGTCCCAAATGGTGCATGTAGTGTCCACGCTAGAAGTAGCCACAAGACGGGTATCAAACACTGCCCAATCAAATGAGGTTATAGCCGAGTTCTGATTTACTTTGTTACCAATTAGTGGGGACTTTAGTTGAATACGGTCATCATGGATTTCCCATAATCTTAAGCTGTCACCTGAAGTGGCAATGAGGTCAGGATTCGTGTCATCCTCGGAGGGAAAGAACATAAGGTTTGTTGGTGCATAAGGATGGTCAAGAACTAAACGAGGGTCGGTGGTGAAATTAAACGTGTCATAGTTAAAGTGGACCAGTTCAACCTTGTTGGTGTACTCTTCTAAGTAACTACCAATGGCGAGGCGTGGGGTTTTGTCACGGCGCATTGACCATGCTATTGCCGATATAGGCCACTGGGAAACATAGGTGTGGACGCCTTGTTTTTCCTCTGTATGACTTTGTATGGTGAAGTTTGCTTCAACGGAATCCATAGGAAAGCCAAGAAAACTTCTGCATGGTAGATTGGAATTTGCAAGGATCAGAATCTGTGTTATAATTTTCGGTTTAAATGATGGTTTTTTTGTGTTAGATGTTCGAGCTATTTGCTAGCCCATTTTTATGCAAAATGTGTTATGTATTTGATGAAGCCCCAGATTTTATTTTGTAATCTTGCTCTATTGGACTTGTTAAAATCGTATCTAATGAAGTATTTTGTTTTCCCGTCAAAAATAAATTAATAACATTCTTTGTCTCAAAAAAGAAAAAAAGAAGCAGTAGATGTTTTAGACTTTCTCTGATAAAAATAGAAACAGGAAATCGGGGAAAGAAACTGAAAATGTTACACTTAATCGAATATGAAAGGAAATTGATCATATATAGAAACAAAGAAGCAAGGTGTAGTTGTAAATATGTTTCACTTAAAAGAGAAGTTCGAAAGGGGCTTACATTACTCGTATCCTTAAGCTTCCGGTGTTAGCTTTTCTGTGCTGTACGTACAATCGTGATAGCCTGGGTGTTGGTGTCGAAGGGTCAGTGGCAAAGGAAATAAATATCAGAGCAGTACAACCAGTTTTCCCAAGAAATGAGGGAAGGGAAGGTGAAGCTAATGGTCAATATCATTTCTGCTCTTCATAGTTCGGTTAGCTTTTATAAGTTGGAGAATTTAATCATATTAAATATAATTGACCCTCTCCCTCGTGACACTTCAATTAGCAGAGCTGGGAATGATGATTTTGTTACACGGACGTCCACCGAAGATGGCAAATTAAGGACATCATAGCCATCGGATAAAGAACCATTTCAACTCAAAATCATAAGGCAGGAGAAGCAATCATCTCACCTAATAGTCATAAGCAACCATCTCACCTAAGGCTTAATATTTTGGATTGAAATAATTCTTTACATAATAGCTAGAATGACCAAATGGTGATGAGTTAGATCATTTTGTGATGGAATTAAGTAAATACAAGATAAATAAAAAAATGGACATATGCAACATAAGATAAACTAAAGAATGGACATGTGCACTATTCATGCGATCAAAAGACTCTTATATAGAGAAGCGTGTTAAAAAAATATAAAATTATTAATAATATAATATCTTAAGAATTTGAATTAAAATAATTAACTTTATTAGCGGCCTTTCCATTTGCCCCAGTGGCATCTAAGTAGATTGATTGCGAAGACTAAGGGTCTGTTTGATTGTGTTTTGGTTTTTTTTGTTCTTAAAACTGTTTTGCAAAATAGTTATGGAAACAATTATTTTCTATATTTTTAAATTTTTCAAAGTTAAAAACCAAAACAGAAAACAAAAATAACTCAGACATGTTCTCTAAATTTGATTCTAAAAACAAAAAATACAGTTATAATTTTCAAAATATTTTACAAAACAAACCTTACCAAACGAGTTTTTTAATTTTTTAGTATTGAAAACTAAAAAATTATTTTTAAAAACAATAATCAACGTAGCCTAAGTTTCCAGATTATTGCCAAACATTGAGCACGTAGTTAATAAAGTTGTCGCTGTTGAATGGTTGGTTGGAGTTGACCTAACGTTTGACCACAAAACGCACTAATGTTTCTCTCCTAAGCACCAGATTTTGATCCATCGGATACTTAGAAAAAATCATGAATTTTGTGGAGTACGAGCCTCTCCATAATTGTTCGAATCTCTAAAGTCGAAAGTTCAATTTTTGAATTTTTTTTTGGGAAATCCTTTTCCTTCACCAATTATCACAATAATATAGGGATAGGTTATATTTACAACTTTTTTTGTTTACAAACTCTTAAAAACTACACTAAGTACGACCGGTCATACTTTAATCATGCAGTGTACGACCGATCGTACTTAGTGTAATTTGCAAAAAAAGTTTGTAAACGGATCCTATCCCATAATATATATCTAAAAATGTAATAATTATATATGAATGAAAATTAATTTACTAGACTAAAGACCCGTTTCTGTGTTTTTTAAGAATAAATTTTTTTTTTTAGCATCTTTATTTTTTTTATAATAATTATACAAGTTTCTTTTAAAGCAAAAACCTTAAAAAAAAGTTTTAGTATTTCTCATAAAATTTAAAAATAATAGTTTATAAAAAAATGGGATTTGCATTTATCATTTAACATGACACAACAAAATTTCCTACACACACAATATTTTGTGGAGCCACACTTTTTGAAGAAAAAAAACTACAGCACACAAAACGAATCTCTATAACATTACACAATCACTTTTCCTACAACATAACTCTTATAAAACCCTAAAAAAATCTAAAAAGGTATTATAAAAGGTGTTATTGTTAATAAAATTGAAACAGATGCACCCTAAATTGAGCTTTTCAATTCATTAATAACTCAGATATTTAAACCCATGTTTCTGTCTACGAATTACATCCTAAAGGTAAGGTTTTATTGTATCACTAATGTGCTAACTAGAATACATGTTATTTAGCTGTTCGACCATTGTGTCCCTCATTAATTAAAAAATAACCAATTTGCCTTTCATCCAAATATTCCATCAATTTGTCACTGTTTGACCGTTAACTGAAGGTTTAATATATTACAACACAGGCATAACCGATTAAACTTTCAAACAAAAAGAGTTGACCAGTGACCTGTGATGTAATTGATTAGAGTATTAAATATGTAACGCTAGAACCATTTTTTAAAAACCCCCATTTGCCCGAAGGGGGTTATAAACAAAAGGGTAATTGAGTACATAAACCCTAAGCTCCAAATTTGTGGTTTTTGCCCAAAAATTTCCTCGAATCGTGAGGTGGATTTACAAGACAACATCTCCTACTCCTTTCTTCATCTTGCACGATGTGTTTTCTTGATTTTTTTTCCTTATTTTTTTTGGATCTATGAACCCTAGACTGATTGGGCAGTGGTTTAGTTCGATTGCCATGAGGTTTTGCTTTGATTCTTCGGTTTTATGGTTATTTAGTTTAGGTTTTTATAATGTATATGGTTTAGGGTTGAGGTTTCATAGGTTTTATAATTTTTAATTTTTTGGTCGATTTTCATGACCCATTTTTTAGTTTGTTTTTTTATTATGTTTGTGTTTTGTGTTGTTGATAAATTTTCATGTGTTTTTGTAGGTTACTTCTATTGTCGTGGCTGGCGGCAAACGAACTTTGAAGAAATCTGCAACTAAAAAAGAAAGTAGGACCAAGCACCGCAATGACCATGCTTCTTCTTCGAGGACACAAGAGTCTATGCCTGAGACTGTAGACCTCCCGTATAGATATTTTCTTGATTATAATGCCTCACATTATGCACGATTTATGGGTGGTTTGGCTAGCAAACCCATTGTTGAGTCGAAGTCATTGAATTCAACATTCTCTGTGGCAGAGGGATTTGATATAGTGGCATTGTTGGAGGCGTCATATCTTCGAGTGTTGTAACGCCCGGCCGCTTCAAGAATCAACGACTATCCCCACATACTAACACGAGACTTTACAGTGTGCTTTTTCCTCACTCGCACACTTCCCGAGAAAACTTCCCAATAGGTCACCCATCCCAGAATTGCTCCAAGTCAAGCACGCTTAACTATGGAGTTTTTCCGTTATGGGCTACCGAAAAGTATATGCATCTTGTTAGTATAGGTAGTACCAATTAATTCTTATAAGTTATTCTCAACTGTACCGTCCCATACCAGCACAGTCTCTGGAATTCCTCTTTTTCGGGTGTTGATTCGATTCATTCATGTACCCCCGTCGCTGGAAGTCTGCCAGGAGTCGATCCTTGTCCATGCCCTTTCGCATCGGCGATCGCTCCCCGCCCTCATCAGCGCCCGAGATGTTACAAGTGCTGGCTGAGATATCATGTCCATATTTAGAGGTTGTGTTGAAGGCCTTTTACCATAACCTCAATTATAGACAGGGTGAGCTGAGGTCCCACGTTTGCAGTGTTGACATAGTCATGACGACTCAGATATGTATGGATTTATTAGGGTACGACTTTGATGGCCATCCTATAGTGGAGTATGATGGGGATACCAATGCCCCTATTCCTGGATATGTGCAAGGAGATATTGTACAGGAGACTAGGAGTCATGATATTACGCGTGGGAAAATGATATTTATATTATGGGGCTGCTTAGTGTTGATGCTCGTATTTTGTTCTACATCACGACCCACTTATATTTCTCACGAGCACACAACCATAGCAGGGTGCTAAAGGGTGATTGACCTCTCTTGTGCATTATTCGTCACAACATACGGGTGAATTGGAGGCACTACATATGTTGGCTTATGTGTAAGACTAAGCATAAGGGTGCACTTCCATATGCCTTCCTGGTTAAGAGGATATTAGAGCATTTTGAAGTTCCCATGAAGACTGAGCGTAGCCCAGTTCGGACAACGTCTACTGGAGCAATGCGTGATCTTAAAGACAAGGCGTGTGTGGCAGTGGAAAACCCAACCCCAGGTTTAAGTCACTATGGTTGAGCCGGATGTACAGATGGTTGAGGCTGAGGCTGATGATGTTGATTATGCTGACGGTGCTAACCTGCAGGAGATGATGGAGCCTGGGGGTGGATGGACCTTGAGTGATGTCATGAAAGGCATTAATGCCATACTTGGGAGAATAGATCTCATTGAGAATAAACAGAAAAATAGGTGGAAAAGCATGGTGAATACACATAATAAAAGGTTTAGGCACATTCAGGGTCGATTGAAGGGCCTGGAGGGTAGTTTTCACAAGTTCATATTAATGAAGAAACAACAGGTGGTGACGAGGAGGAGGCAGATGTGTCAGATGAGTAGGAGGAGGAGATCGAGTCATAGTAGATTTATGGGTTTTTTTTGTTTGTAGGGCTGTTGATGTATTTTTCGTTTATGTTGTGAATTTCCTTTATGTAACAAACTTTTATTAATGATATGGAGGTCTATTTTGATGTCATTGATGTTTATTTGTTGAAATTTTTACATATTGTTAATGTATACAAGTTTTGAATTTTGTATCTTGGAATGAGAACTTAAAATTGGCTTTTTTAATCTTGGAATGAGAGCTTAAAATTGGCTTTTTAAAGTTTTTATAGTCCTAATATACTAGTACAAGTGGAATGAATGAAGTCTAGGTATTTAAAGAAGGTAAATGATACTTTGAAATGTCAAAACCAACATTAAACCCAATTATGGTACATTTATGGAATCGGTAACGCAAGAAGGTCCTGTGAGACAACAAAACCCCTACCCAAGTCATATTGGATAAGTTAATGGTGAACAAAAATCATTTGATCAAAAAAATCATGGAAAACATATTCATTTAGTAAAACCAACTGTTGTAATTGATTACCTAATGCTGATGTAACTGATTATTGATGAGAGTCTAGCAGATGATGTTTTCTAACTTAAAAGAAGCAAGGAATTAATCATAAATGTGTGAAAATAGTCATTAAATGCAATAAATATTGATTATTCCTTCTCAATCATGCTCTCACTCAAGTTATATGTTAAATAGCAGGAAACGCCGCAAAAATGAGCAA